GTACCTTTACTGGGGAAGCAGCGTGGCCAAGTGGTCCTCACATCACACTCCCAATCCGGCAGTCCTGAGGTTCGAGTCCCACTTTGACCACTTGCTGGATTTGTTCTTGGTCATCCCGAGTTCAAATCCTAAGCCATGCTTGTAAATAGCCAACTGGTTGCCTCCTCCAAGGTTTTTTTTTATTCCTGTCATGTTCTATTTGCATTATTTGTTTCAGAATTATTTGAGTGGCATGCCTGTAACTAGCTGGATAAGCTAAGTGCACTTTCCACTATAAACAAACCCTTAAACCTCTTTTAAGCCTTTACAGCTTAGAGTCCATCCTGGCACCTTCCTTTCTCAAGTCTACCCTTAATGTCTTTATCAAATTCAAAGAGCCAATATCTTTCAACAAGTGACCTTTGTTAAAAACACTTCCAGCAACCAAATTATCACCTACAAAATCACATGACCTTTTGGGGTTAGATTCAGGGAACACATTTCCAACACTAAGCAACAACAAAGACAGTGGGGGAACCCCCTCAAGTATTCAGGTCACGCCCTGGATATCGCCTCCTCCTCCTCCTCAATATTTGCAAGGGAAGATAACATGTTGAAATTAAGTGTCATGGACAACATTGAAATCAGCTGTCGGGTTCCAACATTGAATATGCCAGTTACGAGCTTCCATGATCTACAGAACTGTTCGTCACCTGATTCACAGTATAAATCACTTGACAAAAAAGGAAAGATTAAAAGTCTATCACTTGATAAAGATTCCAAGATGAAAAGGAAAGCTTGTGTGTCTTAAAAAAAATATTAATATTTTCACAAGTCTAAAAACTGGTTTACCGGTATGTTTGTTCTGTTATAACCTAAAATTTATCATCTCTCACCGAATATTTGACCTCCAAGTACTCTGATGTCACAGGAACATCTTGAATCTCAAATGCATAAGCTTTCTGGACTTTCTGGGGACATAAAGTTACACACGCTCATCAACAGAATTGTATAAAAGTGACAACAATGAAAATTATTTAAACAATCTGAATTACCTTAGATATGAACTTCATTATCTTGTGCTTTGTTGCAATCTTATCATTAAACTCCTGAAAAAGAAATAACAAGAAAATGATGAAATTTAGCCCCCTCAATGTCATGGTTATTGTACTATGACCACCATGGGAGGACTAAAAAGTGACCAACATCAATTTCCTCCTAACGAGATCATTGCACCATCAAGAGGAAACATCAAGATAATTAATGACGTCCTAAGGTAAAACCCTTCTATCTTTTACTCTCTTTCTCAAGTAATTCTTTGAGGGAACATGTGGTTGGCCGCCAAGGGTGGGGATTTGGGGGGGGGTATTAGTCAAGAGAGGACCCTACTTTACTGGTAAAATTTAAAGGAGGAGGCTTAAATATCAGGGGCATTTATTAGAAGGAATACAGCGGCAGATCCAGAAAATTCAGAAAGGAGTGGCCAGGACACTTAACAGCTCCATTCTAGATACTTTTTATTTTTCTGACACGAAATTCTATAAAAATAATATTAATTTTCAAAGGAAAAGGGGTGGTTGCGGCCCCCTCGGTTCACCCCTATATCTGCCCATGAAATACAGTAATCAAAATTACTATGATTAAAATCAAATCATTATTTTTTTTTTACCTGGTAAATATCAATAAACCCAACAGGCTCATCAGTTTCAGAACCATCAACTTCAAGCTTCTAAATGATATAAAGTAAAAAAACATCAATTAATTTAGTACATTGCTGGAACAGGTACAGATAATATTTGAAAAGACATGCAAGAAGAACTCAACAACTGCAGCAATGTTTTTACATCCATTCTCTCACCTTTTCTCTTGGGAGAATAAATATTTGTCTCTCAATGTTCTTGACTGCCACTGAACAGCTAATATGAAAAAAGATAAATTTTTAATTAGCAGTTGCAAGTCCACTAAGTGGTCCTTCTGGTTTCCCATGTGGGATTTCCGAACTTAGTTAAAGAGAAAAATAAAATTTAGATAAACAGTAATTACCTCACATATGCCTTTGCAGCTTCAATCCAAACCTTTCCAAAAAGGTATACAGTACCTAAAGGATAGGGAATAATTAACAGGAACATTCAAAACTTACAGTGAAGCTAGTGATGTTCTTAATAATACAACTGTCCAGCAACCTTGACCAACTCTACCTGGTTGTTTGAATCTGTCTTCATAAGCATCAAACCAGTAGAATTTAAGGAATTTTTCCCCTAAGAGGAGAAAGAAAAGATGATCTTTGTAAGAACATGGAATGGGCAACAGATTTAGTACTTCAAAATTTGGACAGAACTGGCATCACTAGTCAGACATCCTTGCAAGGTTCCATAGTTTCTTTCTGTGTCCCTTTTATATGTTGGCATTTATCAAGCCTTTCTATCAAAATGTTAGCTCTAGCAGAGATTTTTGCAATTCTTTGGATGAAATCCCATATGACTGTTCAACCTCTTAACCCTTTAGGCCCTAAGAGTGACCAGCATCAAATTTCTCCTTGTAATATCACTGCTTTATAAAACACAGTGGTCATGAGAATTAAGGATATGATCACACAAGATGAATCTAATTGATACTTCATCAAATTCTCCCCACTACTTCTATTGAAAACGTATAGGGATAACAAAAGAGAATTTGAATTTTGATGTTAGGGTTTAAAGGGTTAAGCAGTACTTTTACTTAGGGTTGCTAGTTTTTCATCTTTTTGGAAAGTGAAATGTCAGGAGTCTTCTTGAATTTTTATTTTGCCCATCTTGAAAGCAGAACTGGCTGAGGCCTATATTTTCACTTTTTAATAATTTCAAGCTTGAAACTTGTTGATTGCTGATATGTTTACTAACCATCTACTTCTTTGAGTGGAAGAGAAGACGAATCCACATTAACATCCATCAAAACCTACTGAGTAGCACATAAAAAAAAAAAAAAAACTTAAGCACTCAAACCCTGTTAATACGGGCACTGAGGGGGCCATAGAAAGTGACCGTATTAACAGTTGAAATTAGAAAAAATGTAAGGGCTTTCATTCCCCAGGGACAAAACGAACTGTCTGTAATAACAAGGTGTCCACATTAAGCGGGCGTCCATTATGGAGGGTTTGACTGTACGCAACTTAAACAAAATTTGTTTAAAACAAACAGGAAACAAATTAAAGCTACACCATACTTTTCTTAGTCTCCCTCGCAGCTGTTTTTTGGATGTCACGCAATGCTCCCCTGAAAGTTCTTTCGGGGGAGCGTTGCATGACATCCAAAAAACGGCTGCGAGGGATACTATACTTTTCTCTGTGTTGTGATGAAGTGGTACAGAGAGGTATTTCTCATTCCAGAGAAAGAGATATGATGTCATTTTTATATAATTCAAAAAAGACGCTTGACTTCTTGTACAATGAAAGGCAGGGAGGTGACTAAGAACAAAACACATTTACAAGAATCTTTTGACACTTTTATACCTCTTGTTGTTGTGAATCTTCATTTCCTAAGATAGTTTCCCATCCTGAATCACCAGGAAGTTCTGTTGTTCTGCAAAGATCCATGCACTTATTATTACTAAATTAAGTTTTTTCGTGATATCAATATATTTTGAGGGCTAAACTGCAGAACAAGGATAATTTTTCTGTATTTTTTAGGCGAGGAAAGGCAAGCACGAGGCAGGAGTGGAATGCAAAGCCTCCCCCCATCACTTTATTACAGATAATTAAATAAAAAGGAAGTCATTATTTAATTAGCAAACTATGAATATCCAAAAATGCCCAGCAGTGCAGTGGACAGTAGTTTTGTCTGACTGTGCCCAAAACACAAGACAAGAACCCCTAAATGAGCCAGTTATTTCCTGAAAGCAGTCATGAAAACCAAATGGTACAAAGGCATCAGCTCAAGTAGCTGTAACATAATCATTTCTTTGTTCAACAAAAATTATCTGCTGACAAGATCCAGCAAGTTCCAGTGACTTTGCTTCAAAACACATGTGACCACACCCTTCCCTTGACTTCAAAACACAAACATGACAATAAATTATTACTTCTACCCCCCAACAAAGTTAAAAAGTCATACGATAATAATATGTTATTGTTTCTCAGAAATATTTAAATTGTTTAGTGATGTGACTTGTCAATGAATTTCAAAATAAATATCATAATAGAATTGCATACTTCTGTGGCATAGCGCATCTTCTGTCATTTGGCTTCTCACTAGCCTCAACCTGAGAGGATAATTAAAGGAAAGTATATGAAGTACTTCTGATGGTTACTTGTAGCTTTCCCAAAAATAAATAATGTTGAATAGATAGAGAAGTGAGTCAAGAGATCAACAAAGTTTCATTGTAAAATAAAGGTGACCTTGAAAAGTTGGTCAGAGACTGAGAAGAACAATTTTTAATTTTACAATTTCTTGGAAAACATGAATTCAGTAACTTAAAAAGTTCTTGGTTTAAGTTTAAGGGACTCTAAACTAAATTGTAGGAAAACAAAGGTTGCCTGAACCTGCTTCTTAGATTACTTGGAACAGCTTGGTCCTACAAAACAAGGCTAACCTGGTATTGAATCAATATTGAATCAATATAGTAAAGTACCTTGACGTGAGGTTTTACATCATGATTCTTTTCTGCATTTGATAAAGCCTGGATAGCTTCTTCATTACCAAGATCATCGTCATTATCAAAGTCATCAAAACCAGCATCGTACTCTGGCATGTCATCATATGAACCAGGAACATCTAGCAGAGATTTTTCTGTTATTTACACATGTATGATTACACTTAAACTAAATCATGTTTTATGACAGCTCAGAAAAAGTTATTAGTATTGGCTGACATAATGGCCAATACTCGGTCAGTGTAATGGTTGACTATCTGTTGACATGTCAGTTAAGTCTTGGCTAATAATTATGTTGGTTGACATAAGTTATACCCATTCATCAGACAGGTTGACATATCAGCCGACGCACAGCAGACACTCAGTCAACATGTTGGATGACACACCAGCTGACATGTGTGCCACGAAGCGGCAAAACACATTGGCTGAGTGTTGGTTCATATGTGCACAACATGTCTATGTTGGTGACAAGTCCAAAGAATGTCAGCAGAGAGTGTCAACCAATACGCGGCCGAATTGCGCCCAAAGTACACAAGACCCAATTTTACGTGCCCAGAGCAGTTCCATGGTTGTCTTAGTCTGCTTCATTATGCAATGAGGACTTAACTGGGCTGCCCATGAGGTAAGTCAATAAGGAAAGTTACTTAACTAGCAGGACTAATTTCCAGCCCTGCGAGTGTACACTTTGCCTTTAATAATCTGATGACGAAAGTCTATCTTATTTACCTTCCATCCCTGTATCCATATCTGTCATTTCAAGTTTTTCCTCTTTGACTTTTTCTCCAACCAAGCCACCATACTTTGTTTCTGTTCTGTCACATTGCTCAGTTTTTACAGCCGCCGCAGATCTTTGCTGTAATGTGACTGGGTTTTGGTGGGGAAGTAGGCTCCTGTTTGAAAAGGGGTGCTCTTGGGTTAGATGATTCCTGTTGAATGAATTTATTAGCAAAATCACTGGAGGGAGTAATACAGTGAACTTTCTATAAACCTCAGCACTCTGCTTTCAAATGCAATCTGCCTTGCAGAGGGTTTAGGTGTGGATAATTAGCGTGACAAGTAGAAACTGTGCCATTCATCTTATAAGAGACCTTGGGAGTTGTGGGAGGCAGGGGGAAAGGTTTTCATGCCAAACTAAAAAGTATAAACAGAACAAGATGCTTTTGGTCATCATAGGTATAAAGCCAGAACATTTCCAATATCTATTTTTTTTACCAGATATTACCTGAAGCCTTCTGGGAGTGCAATGATTTGAAGATGTTGGAGTTCTTTAAATGAAAAAAAAACAAAGCATCATTAACCTAAATAAAGGACTTTGAAGGGCTGTCACTAAGGGTTGGAGGCTGGGAATTTCCCCTGGCTAGGGTTTTCATTAAGAATTCTAGTAGCAGGAGAAAGGCGTAACGTACTTACAGGAGAATATTTTGAAAGAGGATCCACATCTGAATAAACACTTGTCATAGGCTACCGAACGTTAGCTGGAGAATTCTGCGTAGGAGACCGAGAATTCTCCAATCTCCGATACCTAAAAAAAAACCCTGCCTGACTACTATAAGCTTGACCCTGGGCTACTTTTATAGGAAACAAGAGGGAAAAAAAAAAAAAAAAAAACTTCCGAGCAGTTCATTTCCCCCCACCCTCTTTTTGCATATACCTGGCACCTTAAAATCATAGGGACAGCCCTGACTTTGAGGACTCTCAGTTTAAAAGCAAAAAACTATTACCATAACAATAAAAATCAACAAAATTGATTTATCCTTTTACTAGACATGATTCTTAATCTAATTTTCTGCTCAGCTTACTGTCATACCAAAATGACTGACGTCTATGCATATTCTCACTGCCTCTAAAATCAATATACTTTTACTTCAACTCAGACTATTATTCTATTTTTTCTGTAGCAATAACTTGTTTACAATACCTTAACACTTGACCCTTGCCCTTTGACACTGGAGCTGGTCTTGGATGCTTAAAATGTCAAAAATAACAAAAACAATCATTAAGACTGTGACAAAAGATGGATCGAAACACACCAATCACATTTTAGAGTCTTCAAAGCAGATCACTGCTTAACTGATTGACAAACAAGCAATAGCATCGTGACCTAATTGACCAATCAGGTCAATGAACAGAGTTTAATAACATCAGTTGATGTGAGACAACTAACTCTGATTCTGCATAAAAATGACTACGACGAGTGGTCGAAAATTAAGTCACTGTCAACAACAGTCCTCTTCAGCACTACACTTACCTGGACTACCACACTTGACCTTCTTAGAAAAACAACATAATTGAAACTATATGAATATATGAAAATCATATATTAGAATGGCAGGATGAAAAGGTAGATGCAAAGAAGATCATCACAGTTTTAAATGCAACTTTCGCAGTTGCAAAAAGAAAGCCTGAAAAAAAAATTCAGGTTTGTGTGGGATTCAAACCTTTGACCACTGCAATAGTATCACCAACTGAGATATTTACAAGCCAGCTGGGAATGAACCAACTTAAAAACCAGCTCCAAACAGGCCATTTGTGAGTTCCAAGAGCTTTCACTTTTAAAATGAAGCTGACTCCAAAACCTTTTCTTGTGAAAATGAGTTTTATTTGCATGAGAATAAAAAATCCTTTTCATATCAATAGCTTTGTCCTTAGCCTCGTTTTGAATCAGAGGCTTGGGGCAACTCTGAAACGGTCTATTGGCCTGTTGGCTTAGAAGATATTGCAAAGGCCAAGAGTTCAAAAATTCAGTACAAGCCTGAATTTTTTCAGCATTTCTTTTGACAACTGCAAAAGTTGTAGTCACAACTGTGATGATTTTCTTTACATTTAACAGTTCCCCATAGCACTCCAGAACAAAACACTACACCAACAAAAACACAAGTGATAATAATCTAACTTTAAATTTCTGTGCATACCTCTACTTCTTTCAAAAGGTCATTGAGGAGATCGTCATCCCCAAGAGATGTAACTTCCTTCTAACAAAGGGAGCATAAAAAAGAACTTAGTTAAGTTTCTTTTGGGTCAAAAGAGAAAGAGAGAAATATTAAGCTACCATAAGCAACAACTACATGTAAGAAGCTGTTTTCTCAAGCAGTCTTTCTTTGGTTTGTTTTAGTTTATCTGTGGAGGCATGTGTGTGGCTGGGCGGATCTGGAGGTCCGGGGTTCAAGCCTCGCCTGTCGCATTGTTTTCTTAGACAAGGAACTTTAGTCCACTGTTTTAAATGGGCACCGGCGACGTACTGCTGGGGGTAACCCTGCAATAGACTAGCATCCCGTCCAGGGGGGAGTAGCAATACTCCTAGGTATGCTTCATGATAAGGAAACCGATTGAGATAAACTCTGGCCATTTGGGACTTTGGCATGTTTTTGCCTCTACCTTATCCCATTTTAGTTCTCAAACCTTCTCACCTTTGGTTTCTTAGCTTTGGCACTTGCCGCAAGTAACATTTTATTGATTGACTTTGGCTTTGCTACTGGTTTCTTCACGTTCTGTGATTTAGAAGAAAAAATGCATTAATGTGTTATTAATAAATATAATTATTAGTTCAAAGCATATAGAAATTTGAAACAACAAGCCTGTCCAACAAAAGTACTTACTGGTTTTTTAGACTTGAATTTAGGAACATTTTTCCCTGAAACGGTGAATGAAGATTTTTATTGAGTACAGATTTTTCTATTTCCTAGTAGCCTATGTAAAACCGTAACCCATTTTTTCACCAAATACAGCTAATAAATTCACTAACCATCTGAAGGTTCCTCCTCAAGATCATCATCAAAAATCTCTCTTCCATCATCCACATAGCCAGTCCCATCTGAAATTCAAGATTCGTTAACATATAATTTATATTGGTGGCAGGGCCAATGGGTAGTGTAGGAGCTGCTCGGAAGGTCTCTCCTAATTGGTTGCAGGAAACAATGATATGTCATTCTTCCAATTATTGTTTTAGTAATTTGGGGTCAGGGACCATGACTTCTCTTCCGAGCAGCTGCTACGTGATCCTGGCCAATAGCAGTACCCAGGGCTCAAAGTTAGCGACTAACTGGTCGCATATGCAACTGGATTTTTTGGTTGTGCGCCTAAAAATTCATGTGTAATCGCACCTGTGCGCCGTAAAACCCAAAGCAAAGTGCGACTGACTTACTGCCGACTATACTTACGATCTCGAACTAGAAAGACAGTGTATGTTTAATTGGTCTTTTCTCCCAATGGATTCTACGAACTCGAATGATCTTTTTCATTTCGATGTTTTAACTCTTCTGTTTTGTAATAAACACCGCTGACACATGCAAATATAAGCTACGAATGAAACACATACTTTTTGCGCAATGGACGATCATGTCAAACGTTCAGTTTTAACATCAATCAAAACAAAAACAGTGCGGATTAAGAGCCTTTTTTTCCAGGTAAGAAAGTTTTTTAAGATTCTGTTATTTACACATGTATGATTACACTTAAACTAAATCATGTTTTATGACAGCTCAGAAAAAGTTATTAGTATTGGCTGACATAATGGCCAACACTTGGTCAGTGTAATGGTTGACTATCTGTTGACATGTCAGTTAGGTCTTGGCTAATAATTATGTTGGTTGACATAAGTTATACCCATTCATCAGACAGGTTGACATATCAGCCGATAAACAGAAGACACTCAGTCAACATGTTGGATGACACACCAGCTGACATGTGTGCCACGAATCGGCAAAACACATTGGCTGAGTGTTGGTTCATATGTGCACAACATGTCTATGTTGGTGACAAGTCCAAAGAATGTCAGCAGAGAGTGTCAACCAATACTCGGCCGAATTGCGCCCAAAGTACACAAGATCCAATTTCACTTGCCCAGAGCAGTTCCATGGTTGTCATAGTCTGCTTCATTATGCAAAGAGGACTTTACTGGGCTGCCCATGAGGCAAGTCAACAAGGAAAGTTACTTAACTAGCAGGACTAATTTCCAGCCAGGCAACTTGTACACTTTGCCTTTAATAATCTGATGACAAAATTCTATCTTTTTTACCTTCCATTCCTGTATCCATATCTGTCATTTCAAGTTTTTCCTCTTTGACTTTTTCTCCAACCAAGCCACCATACTTGCTTTCTGTTCTGTCACAGGGCTCAGTTTTTACAGCCGCCGCTGATCTTATCTTTGCTGTAATGTGAATGGGTTTTGGTGGGGATGTAGGCTCCTGTTTGAAAAGGGGTGCTCTTGGGTCAGATGATTCCTGTTGAATGAATTTATTAGCAAAATCACTAGAGGGAGTAATACAGTGAACTTTCTATAAACCCCAGCACTCTGCTTTCAAATGGCATCTGCCTTGCAGAGGGTTTAGGTGTGGATAATTAGCATGACAAGTAGAAACTGTGCCATTCATCTTATAAGAGACCTTGGAGGTTGTGGGAGGCAGGGGGGAAAGGTTTTCATGCCAAACTACAAAGTATAAACAAAACAAGATGTTTTGGGTCATTATAGGTATAAAGCCAGAACATTTCCATTATCTATTTTCTTCAAAACCAGGTATTACCTGAAGTCTTCTGGGAGTGTAATGATTTGAAGAAGATGTTGGAGTTCTTTAAATGAAACAAAATAAAGCATCAATAACCATAATAAAGGAATTTGAAGGGCTGTCACTAAGAGTTGGAGGCTGGGAATTTCCCCAGGCCAGGGTAAGAATTCTAGTAGCAGGAGAAAGGTGTAACATACTTACAGGAGAATATTTTAAAAGAGGCTACATGTATGAATAAATAAAAAAAAAGGCTACCAAAAGTTAGCCAGAGAATTCTGTGTAGTTATGAAGAATTCTCCTATCTCCAATGCCTAACAAAAACCCTGCCTCGCTGCTATGAGCTTGACCCCAGGCTACTTATATAGGAAGCAAAAGGAAACTAAAACCCAAAAAAACTTCTTAGCTGCTCAATTTCCCACCCATTTATTGCATATACCTGGCACCTTAAAATCTTAGCGACAGCCCTGACTTTGAGGACTCTGAGATTAAAAGCAAGAAACTATTAAAATAACAATAAAAATCAACAAAATTGATTTATCCTTTCATTAGACATGATTCTTAATCTTATTTTCTGTTCAGCTTACTGTTATACAGTGATTTTGTTACAAATAGTTATTATGAGTCCTGGGACTCATCTTCTGAAAAATCATGAGTCCCTGTCAAGAAGAAATATGCATTGTTAAACAAAAGCCATTATAACTGCCACAGAAATTACATGAATGGGCCGCATATTTCTACAAATACACATGTTCAGATCAATCGATTGAACTTTGCGTCCTGTGGGACGCATGCCATGAATTATTTTGTGTCTTTGGGGATTTTTATGCGTCAGGGACACAGGACGCAGAGGTGACAAAATAACTGGTCATACCAAAATGACTGAGGTCTGTATTTTTGCTCCCTCTAAAAGCAAATATACTTCCACTTTAACTCAAAGACTATTATTCTATTTTTTTTCTGTAGCAATAACTTGTTTTCAATACCTTAACACCTGACCCTTGCCCTTTCACATTTTTACTGGAGCTGGTCTTGGATGATTAAAATGTCAAAAATAACAAAACCAACCGTTAAAACTGTGACAAAAGATGGCTTGTAACACACCAATCACATTTTAGAGTCTTCAAAGCAGATCACTGCTTTACTGATTGACAAACAACCAATAGTAACCTGACCTAATTGACCAATCAGGTCAATGAACAGAGTTTAATAACATCAGTTGATGTGAGACAACTAACTCTGATTCTGCATAAAAATGACTACCACAAGTTGTCGAAAATTAAGTCACTGTCAACAACAGTCCTCTTCAGGACTACACTTACCTGGTAAAAAATATTTGACCTTCTTAGAAAAAACAACATTATTAAAACTATTGAATATATGAAAATCATATATTAGAATGACAGGATGAAAAGGTAAATACAAAGAAGATCATCACAGTTTTAAATGCGGTCAGTATAAAAGACGGACTGCGGACTGCGGACTGCGGACCACGGACTGCGGACTGGGTATAAAATACGGACTAGGTATAAAATGCGGACTCCAGACTGAGTATAAAACACGGACTAGGTATAAAACGCGGACTACGGACTATGTATATAAAAACAGCCTTAGAAGGTAAAACTGAGAGAAATAGAAAGCGGACTAGCAAAAACAGTAGTCTTAGCTTTAACGCTGTTCACGTAGTCTATTCTGTTCCCACGGAGAAGGAAGGTTATGCTGGTACTCAAGGCAACTGAAATTAAACTCTGCATATTATAAAAAGAAGGAGTTTAAAGAGATTTCAATTTGCAGTTTTACACCAATAAGAAGCACCGAATTAAAAAAAATAGTATTGGTGTTAGTCAGATCAGTATCGGATGCCACAATCCCGTTTCAAATAAAGCCTTGGGAATATGAGGACTGAATGAAGAACTCAGACGAGAAGGTCAATGCGATGCACAAAAGCAGTATTTAGGTGCGAGAGATTACTCACATACGTGAATTATAACCGAAATGAGTCGTCCAACGTTATATTCTAAGCGATGACTATGATGACATGATTTACACCCTGCTCCTGATCCCCGGAAGGGGGTATCTCTGGGAATTCTTGGTGGGGGTGTAGTGCCCGGTTCTCCGAAACCTGACCTTATTGTAGACCAAAAAATTGTCATTTTCCACACCCGTTTTCAGACTAGATCTCTAAAATCCATTCCTATTTTCGGACCGGGCCTAATTTAGCCTGTTCCAGGTTCTCAGATAGTTGAGGAGACTCCCCAGTTTTCTCCCGTTTTATTTTCGTGTTTTCGCTTTCTCAATTCAGCAGACCCAACTATCTCAGAGCGTTGAACAGGTTAGGTCTAATTAGGCAGAAATTTTGTCATCATTACCAAGTTAGAGCGGAAACAAAAAAAAACTCTCCAAATGCATTTCGAATTCGCACATTTCTAGTACGTTCTTATTCATTTGGAATTGAAACGATAAATACGTCCATTCATGTACGCTCCCGTAGTTCCTCGAAAATCATACCCGATTCCACACCAAAATGGGCAAAGTGTTTTCAGACCAAAAAGGCCCAAACCCCCTACCCTTCCATTATACAAGGGAGTACCACCCCTGATCCTGACCCCTTTCATGATTGTTAGAGACCAAGACAAGGTCTAAAAATGGGTGAAGAAAATAGCATTTTGATCCGGCTCATGATTCAGAGAACCGGGCGGGACACCTCCACCAAGAATTTATAGGAGTATTTACAACTTTAACTCACGTGTCTTGCTATTTAGCAATCTTTTGATCTTATTTCTCCTTACCTAGAACCAATTTGCAGGGTTTTTACCAAAGTAGTCCGTAGTCCGTATTTTATACCCAGTCGGCAGTCCGCAGTCCGCGTTTTATACCTTGTCCGTGTTTTATACCCAGTCCGTATTTTCTAGTCCGCGTTTTATACCTAGTCCGTATTTTATACCCAGTCCGCAGTCCGTAGTCCGCAGTCCGCAGTCCATGTTTTATACTGACCGGTTTTAAATGCAACTTTCGCAGTTGCAAAAAGAAAGCCCGAAAAAAAAATTCAGGTTTGTGTGGGATTCAAACCTTTGACCACTGCAGTAGTATCACCAACTGAGATATTTACAAGCCAGCTGGGAATGAACCAACTTAAAAACCAGTTCCAAACAGGCCATTTGTGAGTTCCAAGAGCTTTCACTTTTAAAATGGAGCTGAATCCGAAACCTTTTCTTGTGAAAATGAGTTTTATTTGCATGAGAATAAAAATCCTTTTTGTATCAATAGCTTTGTACTTAGCCTAGTTTTGAAACAGAGGCTTGGGGCAACTCCAAAATGGTCTATTGGCCTGTTGGCTTAATTAGTATCGCGAAGGCCACTACAGCGTGCAAAGAAAGTCGTGTCCGACAGCTCGGGGCTAGTGGATTTTGCTATCAGGCTAATGATGTTTCTTCTTAAATTCTGCAACAGGCACGCGCTTTTTTGGGGGGAAATTCAAATTAAAGAAGGATTGTTATCAATCCTGCTAATCAAAAAGGGTTTGGGGGCTAGTTCAAATGACTTGTGGGCTAGTACATGCTAGCTACAGCTTGCCCGAATGGCAGGCTGTAAAACTGACTTTCTTGCACCCTGCAAGAGTTCAAAAATTCAGTACAAGCCTGAATTTTTTCAGGATTTCTTTTTACAACTGCAAAAGTTGTAGTCACAACTGTGATGATTTTCTTCACATTTAACAGTTCCCCATAGCACTCTAGAACAAAACACTACACCAACAAAAGCACAAGTGATAATAAGTTTACTTTTAATTTCTGTGCATACCTCTACTTCTTTCAAAAGGTCATTGAGGAGATCGTCATCCCCAAGAGATGTAACTTCCTTCTAACAAAGGGAGCATAAAAAAGAACTTAGTTCAGTTCCTTTCGGGCCAAAAGAGAGAGAGAAATATTAAGCTACCATAAGCAAAAACTACATGTTTGAAGCTGTTTTCTCAACCAGTTTATCTGTGGAGGCATGTGAGTGACCGAGCAGATCTGGAGGTCTGGGGTTCAGTCGCCTGTCGCATTGTTTTCTTAGACAAGGAACTTTAGTCCACTGTTTTAAATGGGCACCGGCGACGTACTGCTGGGGGTAACCCTGAGATAGACTAGCATCCCGTCCAGGGGGGAGTAGCAATACTCCGAGGCATTCTAAGCAACTTCTAAGCAACTGGAAATACCGTAGATTAACCTTAAGTGGGAAGATCACTGTTCTGAAAAGCTTAGTAGCTTCTCAAATTGTGTACGTCTTGGCACCCTTGTGCACAAACAAAAAAATAATTAGCGAGATTAACAAGCTCTTTTACTTGTTCCTTTGGAACGGAAAGGGCGATAAAATAAAGCGAGATATTATGATTAACAATTACCCAGCAGGTGGCCTCAAAATGATTGACATACTATCTTTCAATAAAGCGCTAAAAACCACTTGGATAAAAAAGTACCTGGATACAGATAATCAGGGTAAATGGAAACTTTTTCTAGATCTTGAACTGAAAAAGTTTGAGTGTACCCTACCGTTCACAAGCAACCTTAATAAGATAGACATAGCTAATATCTTCAAAACGCAAGACAGTTTCTTAAAGGAAATTCTCCTAATCTGGTCAGAAATCAATTTTGAAGAGAGGATAACATCAGAGAGCCAGCTTTCAGAACAAGGCATATGGTACAACTCACTTGTAAGGATTAACGACAGCCCTATTTTCTTTAAAGAATGGTATCGTAAAGGCATCACAAAAGTTAAGCACTTAAGGAACAGAGAAGGAAAATTCCTCACTCCACCAGAACTTTTAAACAAATACGACATCAAGGTCCAACCCTTGGCATACTGTGGAATAATTTCTGCTCTTAAAAAGCTATGCAACACATTCAACCAAGGTGACCACACAAACGAAGGTAATAGTTACGAAAGCTTTTCGACAAAACTAATGAAAGCCCAAAAAGCAAGCAAGTTGGTGTATGACAAATTAATTACAAAGAAAAGTGCCCCCCCTACTACAAGCCAGCAAAAATGGAATCAAGACTGCAACTTAGGTCAAAACGAAATAACGTGGGGTG